TAAAAAATCACAACGTAGTATGTCTTCTAAAACGGATTTAATCAAAACCACAAAAGGGCATACAATTACATACATCGGGCGTATACATATGTATTATACATTACAAATTATTATTACACGTTATGTTATTTACATCTTGTACATAATTACTATTATTAACTATTATTTTATTATTTATTCGTAATTTCATTTTATTTCTGGCCGCCAATCCCCAGTATGATGCTACTCAAAAATCAAGAGATACGATTACATCACCGAATCTATGAAAATAGTAAGTAGCAAAGTTAAATTTTCGCGAAAAAAAACAAAAAATACGAAGAAAGATTATCACAATATAATATTATAATTAACGGCACAATAAAAATTAAACCCGTGAGACGGTAATGATGGAAAATCAAATTTTCCACCTGACCGGCATCATATTATATTGTATTCTGTCAGTTCGAAGTCTAAAAACGGTGGGGCGAGAAATTTAAGTTTTTACCGCTACGTTGCCAAATTTATCGGCTTGTAATGTTGCTGCAAACGAATATTTTAACGTTCTACAATAATGGCACTAAGCGCAATCGAGGTTTTCCTATTCCTAGACGCAATTGCGGTATTTTGGCGCAAACGCCGCAGTCCGCCCAACGCGGAACGGGAGGGGGGTTGAGATGACGGCGTTCCAGAATAAATGTGGCGCGGACAGGCTTGTCTAGGCATTAATAAGACGCTATGCCCGCACGGCTGCATGCGCTGTCCCGGTCCAACTAACGGGCGATATGGCAAAACCGAAGTCTGCCAAATCAAAAATTTGGTTTTAGAATAAAAGCACCTATTGTAAAATCAAAAGTAGACGAAATAATCGGAAAACGCAACGTCTCGCTGTCCGGAATGTGGTCCAATTTTAATTCGATAATTGGTTGTTTTACTGAGTTCTACTCAGTGTGCGCGATGTAGGTGTTGCGATATTTTCATTTAGTCGAACAGAGACAGCGCGTGTGGATACGGCGTTCTATTGAGCACGGCCCACTTCGCGGGGCCAATACGTGGTCAACAGTCGATCGGCCGAACCGAACGCAACCTAGACTACAATTGTCCGATCAGAGACCCCCGAAAATATTGCGGACGACGACGCGTCACCGTTATCGTTTTACGCAACAAGTGCGGTATACGAAATTTTCGATCCCCTCTGTGTATCCGATAGGTTAGGTAAGTATTTTATTTTTTTTTCTCACCTTTGCCTAATCGATACGTTCATGTTGGACGGCAATAACATGACCCGTATAATACTGACTGCAGAAACCTGTTGCAATATCGCGTTGTTGACCAGACAAAACACCGTGGCCACCGCTTAGGAATCTATCTCACTAAGAGATTTTTCAAATTTAAAAATAAATTATATAAATACAGAGAATTTCGTTAAGTTCATTGCCAATACATACATATTACGTTATTACGTACCATCACCGAAAACCGTTATCGTAAATCGCCCGTATTTATGGAGTTGCGTATAGGCAACTTTAACGACATTAAAAAAAAAAAAAAAAAAAAAATGGAAATTTATCAATTCACAAACATTCCAATTGGTTTTTAAATAAATTTACAGAGTGGAACCTCGAAATTCAAGGGAAGTATAATTTGTTCGTCTTATCGAGGTTCCAGTGTTTAATCAAAATGTTTGTCATTATGGGAATTTTTCACGTGTAAACTAAAAACATAAAAACCGAATACTCTCCGTGCCTACACCTATTCATAGTATATAAGTGTACCCAGGCACGTAGCTAAGATTTTTTTTTTAAGGGGGCATCCAAACATAAAATTTATCGCCAACCACCAATAATCTGATTTTTTGGGGGGAAACTTAAAGTTTTCGGGTAAGGGGTCCAGACCCCATGAACCCACTCAATGAAAGCTCAACTTGTGTAGATGGTACTTTAAAGAGGTAATTTTTTGATTTTTGACGAAATTTTTTAAATAAAAATACTTAAGTGGGAAAAAACGTAGGAAAACATACAATTTCACGGTTTCATTATTTTATAAAAACACGGACGACGTTTTCTACCAAAAATTATGTAATCGAAAAATCACTCGATACCTTTTTTGTTGACTTATTAATTTCCTTTCTTGCGGTATCATCGCCAGAACTTTTGAGTCAATTTTGAGCTTTTAAAGAATTTTAATTTTCGGGAATTATTTTGTTGTGATGCGGTTATAAATACACGTTGACACTTTAAATTTGGTAATAATACTTATATCGAACTTACCTAGACGTAGTAAAATGTCCAAAATTATCGGACAACTTTTTTTTCTTTTTTTAATTTTTGTACAATGGTACTTTATTTATTTTTATTTTTTTACTGTAGACCACTTTTATGGTAGAAAAGTTAATCTGATGTATAAGTGTAGCGCCTTTTCTGAACGTAAATTTTATCTTCTTGGTAAATACATAGGTAATTTATTTAATTTTCGAAACAGTAATTAAAATAAAAAAGAATTAACCGGGAAAAAAAACGATTATCAGGATTTTGTTATTTTAAATAATATATAAAATATAATATAATAAATAAATAAAAATTACTTCATCGTTGGTAATGTTGGTGTGATTTAAATTTTTAATAATACTAGTAACAAATGATCAACAATGAAATCAATGCCGATAAACACATCAATCAAAAAACAAACGATTAGTGCGAATCCTGGTACAGATTCTGGTAGCAATGAAATATCAGAAATAAACGTTAAACATTTTTACCGTATTTATTCGATAAATACATTTCTTTATTGTTCAATTAGAGGAAAGATTTATTACACAAACATATTTTTAAAGGTTTTTTTTTAATCGGTAAAATAATTTTAATAATTTCCAAATATGGTTATTATTTATTGTTGTTACAAGTTTATATTTGCATAGGTTTTGGATATAGTTTTAAAAAACAAATTTTTAACTGAAAACGAACTCGAGTCATTGAAAAATCTGACTGAATTTTATTCAACATATTTAAATATAGAAACAGTTTGGTAGAGCTTAAACATTACCATTTATTATAAAAAAGATATTCTGTTTTATAACCAATGGTATTACTATATTTTTTTTTCAAACGGCTACAAACGGGTACCTGAAAATATTATAATATCATTATTATGACCATATTTAACGAGACAGCGGCGTTATTTGTTTATACAACCCGAAATCGACGATGCACAAAATTGTTAAAAAAATAATGAAATGGTCAAAACTCCTACAAATGCGCCCATTAGATAACATTTACTACATGCAGAAACCATTTTATGTATCCTATGGTGTTTTTGATTGGAGGAAGACGAAATCGTTTTAACAAACAGAACAAAACATTTAAAACAATATCACATCCAATTATCCAATATTATGGTAACACAAAATGCACACATTCTGAACGTATTCAAAATTCCCTTTAATTTTCATGTAACATGACTCATATTTTGGAAATGGAACTGTCTATATTTTAATTAATATGTTTGATCGAAATACCGATTTGAAGTTTTTTAATGTTATTATTCGTGTGTAAAATTACTGGAACAAAATATAATACAAATAGTCTGTTATGTTGTCAGTCGTATGGAAATAGGATAGTGACGTAACCGAGGGGTTGCTGCCCATATAGGGTGGTCACCCTTAATAGTCGACCCTTTCAGCCACCCCACTATATATATCAATACGAATTCATCAATGATAATATTTTATAGGGGAAACAACTGGTAAAATCAAAACAAGATATGAATTTCGATTAAAAGTAGATATAGGTACCACTCCAATCGATTTATTTGAATAATAATTTAACAAACAAAAAAAAACTGCAAGGTACTTATGAATATACAGAGCAGCTGCTGTCTATACATTCAAATGCTGGTATGATTTTGATTTCACGGGGTTTAAAACCATTTTCAATATGTCATATGATAAATTAAATATAAATTGAGAACAGGGAAGGAGGGTTTTTTTTCTGGAAAATTAACATGATCTCAAGTGGTTTATTCTGTCACATCTCATTCAGTTTTATCATTTTCACTTTTTCAGAACAATTTTCCAGATCAAATATACGTAGGCGGATAATTGACGTCCGTGAGCCTAGCCTACATACTTTATCCGATCAAATCCAAACATATTTCAAAAAGCAGCAAATTTTAGCAAATTTATTATAACAAGTAACATTTCCATTTTTTATATAATCGAATTTGCTTTTGGTGGGTCAAGTTTACGTGCCCTAAGTCCACTGTATACATTTGATTTCAAACGTATGACAAAAAAATCCAAAAAATTAGTAAATGCATTTTCAAAATTGGAAAATCCTTGTATCATTGGCAAATTTAGTTTTAAACCGTGTGTTCAGCGTCTTCAGGTAGTCACAATGCAAATATAGTACACTAGTAATAAAAAATAATTTCTATTCCTTACTTATATTTCTTAATTACCTATTATAAAAATTTATTTTTAGGTAATTTTAATAAGGTTTAATATATTATATATATATATATATATATATATAATTATATTATTATATAATATATTATTTTTAACAAAGTAACAGTTACTAGTAGTTTCTACTATATAATAATAAGAATAAGTCATCATCGGGCAACGAACAAATGTTAAAATATCAAAGCACAAAGTTAATAGTTGAATGGGCAGAACATACTGTTGCAAAAACTGACTCTCGACTCTCCCTTAATCCGGGCTTGATGGTGGTTTCGCAAAAAGCCATATGACAGTAGTACAAACTAGATAAAATTTCCTTTCAGAAAAGGTGGTACAATTGAAAATCAGAACAAGATATTTTATACATTTCTTAGAGAAGAATCTTATTTTAATTTTATTTTATTAGAATAAATGCCAAGTAGCTTTTGGAACAATATTTACAAAGTAATACAAGTTACAATTTAGTGATAAATAATGCAAGATATAAAAATAAACAACTGTAATAACATATAAAACTAATTTTACATTTAGTTTAAAGAGAATTACCAATAATTAAAATTATAATGCGAGGTATTGAAGCCTTATGGTTTTACAAAGTTTTTTTTTCTATCTGTGAACAGAAAGATAGCTCCAGTTTACAATAACACTCTTCTGAGATTTGATTGGGAGGTACGTTAGGGAGGTCATTTTTTGGTTATCCCAATAAATGGGACAAACCGGAAAAAAATACGGGAAAACCGGGAGAACGGGAAAATTGGTACATTATTAAACAAATATTATTAAAGAAAATGTTTAATGCTTACACAATTATTTTACCATAATATAACATATATATTATTGACAAAGCAAAATTATTAACTAAATTGCACTCAGAAACGTTTTCTCGTTAGCAATAGTTAATCGTTGCTTACAGATATACATTTAATTCAAATCTATATCCTACCTTCCCAAGTTCCCACCTACAACGGTGTCCCACCCACTTCCAAAGTATTTTATATTAATTATATTGTAGTATTTTACTGTCTTATACTCTTATCATTTTGAAATAAATTTAAAGACATGAATAGTTAAATTTTAAGTTTAACTGGTTCTGTGAAAGATCCATAATAAATGATAATAAGTGGTTGGTATAAGGAAAGATTTGAGAACCTTTAATGTAGATTGTAGGTACCTACCTATAAATACATTAGTTATGTAAGTAAAGGAGAACAAATATTATTATGTATATAATATAATACCATATCAGTTTTAATATATTATAGAACTATATTAATTTAATGTATGATTATAGAAATATTATTTAGACATAATCCATACAAAATTTTTTGCATTTCTTCAAAAAATGATGGAAAATTATATAAAACCAAAGTTCATGTATCTACTGCCCCAAATAAATTGAAACGATAGGTATATTGAATAATAGGTACCAGAGATCTCAAAAATCACGTTTTCATTAAAGCATATATTATGCTATCTTCAGACTCAACAAATGCTTGTACTTTAAGTGAAAGCAAGCATGTATTTAATTTATATTATTAATAATTATAAGTAGTTACAGATTTTCCTAGTTAATGGAAAAAAAAAACATAAATCTTAATACTCCTAGAAAATCGCTGGATTATTTATATAAAAATTAATTACATTTTTATTTAATATTACATAATATGTTATGAATCAATGACAACTTATTTTTTAGGTACAGGCTGTGGTTCATTATGTGGCTTACTGAGAGGAACAAACAGCCAATGGGGAAAGCATATTGATTTATAACTGAAAATTAAAAATCTCAAAAGTTACATAATGTAGTAACAAACATGTCAATTCTCACACAATTCTACAATATGTTAAATTTAAACCAGAGAATTAATGTCCAAAAAATAAAACTTCAAACTTATTAACAATTAATAACACTTTATTCTATCCATTAATCATTATTAAAATTTTTTTTTGTTAATCATTGTTGGCTAGTGTCTACACTTGCGATTTTAAACTTAAAGATGAATACATACTGTACACAATATTATAAAAATATATTCAAGTTCTATTATAAATAATTGAAAGGATCACCTTATTTTTTTTAAATAAAAAAAAAATTATAAAGAATTATATTAGTAATTAAATAATTATCTATTATTATAAAAGTATAAAAGTAATCAAGGATAAAAATGTATCCAGTTCAATTTATTAATATTGTTATTTGTTATTACAATTAATAGTCTAAACTTTGAAGTTGGAAACATTTTAACATACACAAAGTATCATTTTTATTGCTAGAAAAAAAATATATAAAATGTAATGCAAATTCAAATTTTATTTTGGAACTTGTTAAGATAATTAAAATGTGTAGCTATCTGAGTAAGGTTTAGACAATTTTAAGTATTTAGGGGGCTGTTTGTGTTTTTTCAGATAGTTTGTTTAAAACAATATGTAAGATGAATTAATATTTGATTCACTGTTTATATTTTATGTAAACTAAATAAATATTCAATAATTTCACAACTAATAGAACTGTGTAAAGGAAGACAACATGATTGATATTGCCTAACAAATGTAATTACATAGTAAATTTAAAAAAAATGTAGTCAGAGTTAATATCAATATTAATAGGTGTTTATTATATAATGTCATAAAATTAGTGAATATAAATATAAATCATAGATTCGTAGATTAATAAATATCAAAAACCAAATTGTATTACATTATTACAATTACAAAAAAAAAAAAAAATTATAATTATAATAATAGATATTAAAATAAATATTTGATATTCTTCTGCTATGTATGTATATATATAGAGAGATATTTATTTATCTGTTTCTTGTTTGCTGCACATGTTTAATGCTCTTAATTTTATTAACTAACGAACAAAAATAAAATAAATCAATAAATAAATACAAATTTTCATAATATTGTTTGAACATTATTTCTGACATTTTTAAAAAAAATGTAATATTTGATTATATAATAAAATATATACTAGCTGGATAAATTACATTCTGAGTAAACAAAACATGGTGGTCTGTTTACCGCCTATGCAATTGAAGTAAATCAACTAATTATTAAAACATTAAAATTACTAAAAACTAATTTTTTTTTTTACATAGGAATATATCTGTATCAGCTGCTAGTAATAATATTGATTTTGTATACTTTTGGAATACATTTTTAATAAAGATCAATTAAGCTAAAAGCAGTAATTATGACATAACATAAAAGATTTCTAGAAAAAAAAAAAAAATAAAAAAAAAAATGCACATTTTAATACACTGATCAGGGGTCGGTAATTTGCAATTTGTTAAGCAATTTTTAATGACCCACATAAAGGTGTTAAATTGGTTGGGTTAGGTTTCACCATTGTATTGTTCTTGCATGGAAAGAAGTTATGAGTGTTGTAATTTTCTCAATACATTTTATTGGGTTAATGGTTTGGGTCATCGTCAATTTTTGGATGAAATTGAATCAGCATATGGAGATGTTATATATTATATATTGTATAGAAGTCAGAATTCAGCAGAGGTGCAGCGTTTAAACAATTTTTTTATCTATAATTGGAAATAGAAATGTTTATGAATGAAACAATTTTTAAATCATTACCGAACTATCAGATGAATTATGGATTTTTCAACTGAGCATTTTTAACAGATAAAACATTTTTAAATGAACACTGAACATAATATTTGAAGTAAAATTAAAAATATTGTACAATCATTTGAATCTTGTAAAACCACTATAGTGGGATTTAATTAAACTTACATTTTTTTATACCATGAAACAATTGTAAAACAAATTTTCAATAAGATTTAATGATTTTTATAAGTATGATAATGAAATAAAATAATTCTAAAATTCTTTTCTAGTGGACATAAATCATTTCAAGAATAAATTACAAACTTTTTGAACTTCAAAATGATGAGGTTCTAACAATTAATTTGGGAGAGTAACTAGTTGTATTAATTTTAGAGTTGTTTTTAGTAAAAAAATATGGCCTACATGGTTAAAAAGGTTGCCGACCCCTGCATTAGATGTTGCTGTTAAAATAAAATCAACATTAATATACCAATAATACCCATTTTGAAAACTAGCCACAAAGCAATTAACATTACGTATAACAAAAAATTAATTTCATAATACAATTTAAGTGTACACAAATCAGTAACTTTTTTTTCAGATTATAAAAACATACAGTAAAAACACTGGAATTAAATAAACATTGGCAACATAATATTAGTCATAACACAGAACACATTTATATATTTTTACAATAACTTAACAATTTAGTTGTAAAATAATAAATCATTATTTTTTAAAACTACTTAAAATAAATATATATATATATATATATATATATATATATATATTATAATTACTAAGTACATTTAGTTTCTGAAGAAAATCATAACCATATAAGATTTAAGAGATTGGTATTTAAGACAAACAAACACACACACACACACAAAGAAAACTTAACTTATTACAAAAGAAATAGTTCTAACCTTTAACAATATTAGAATAATTACACACATTTAACTTAATCCTTCCAAAGAAGTTATTTATATTAATATCAGTAAACCAATAACCGCACACATAATTAAAAAAATTCAATTTATAATGTTAATTTTAATATTTATTTCATTCCAAACATGTATTTGTTGTTGATTTGAGAATGTTATACTAATTTTACTAATTATGTATTAAAAGATAGGAATAGGTGCAATCTTTATTATTATTAATTATATTTATTATAACTTAACCTAATTTTTCTCAGACAATCTGTAAAATATCAAAAAACTACAGATTGTCCAGTCAATAATTAGGTGGTAACAAACATAGCATCCAATATTGTTTAAAATCTTCACTATTGATAATAATTTAGGAACTTTGTAGAAAATATACTATTACTTGTAATACATAATAATAGTAAAAGTATTTAATAATATGTACGGTTATGGTAATCTTGTATTGTGATCTTTTGTTCTACATTAGATTATATAGAAGAAGAAAACATTATTTTTGAAAGATTTAAAAATTATACATTTTGAATGGAATGAATATCAAAAAATGATTTCCATATATTATTATGTTTTTGATCAAATAAAAATTCTATTCTTTTTACACATATTTATACCTGGCATATAACATAGAAGCAAACATAGACATACCCACTACATAATATAGATACTTATATTTAAACCTTCAAGGTGTAATTTTATTTCCAATTAAAAAATGTATGCAGCTGCTGTATACCGCTTTAGTAAGAAAGAATGCAGTAAATTGAAAAAATAAAAGAGATAATACTCTTATATGTAATATATTAGTTTTGCACATTTTTCATAGATAAATATACTTTAACTATGGTTATTTATCCAGGAATTTATTCTCTAGGTAGTTAATTATAATTATAATAAATTGTGAAATTGTTTAAGTAACTAAATAAATTAAGATAAATAGTATAAATAAATACAAGGTAAAAAGTTGTAGATAATTAATAACACACTGACCATAAAATAAATATTAAAATCTTGAATGAAAAAAGTTGTGATAAAATTTAAAAGTTTCATTGAATTTGTCAGGTATATAACCTTAAGAAATTATGGTTTCAATATTAAAAAACACAATGTTTATAAAGATATGACTACTACAAATGATTCAACATGAAAATGCATTTTTTTATAAAATGGCAAGGAGAGCACTTACAGTATTCTTTCTTAGGAAGGCAGTATATTGCAGTGACTTTTCATAAATTTGTAATGTATTTTAAAATGCTACTTTTATTATAAAATATTATTATCTTATCAATTTATAGAGATCTAATTAGGAAAAACGGTTATTGATTAAATTAATAATTATAATATACAGAATGTAACAGGATTAATTAACAAATTTAATAACTTTTTCTATTGAATATTTATAGGTTTATTTTATTTAATAATTAGATTTTTCAATAAAATCAAAAGCTACTTTATAAATTATTAATTTTTTTTTAAAGTTGTTCATGTTTAAACTATCATTTAGGTTATGTTAAAATTTAAATTTATTTTTAACTAATTTTATCAATAATAACTAAGAATAGAAAAAATGTCATGCATCATAAAGTTTTAAAAACTTAAAAATTGTTTAAAATTAATTGACTCAACCTTAGTAAAAGTTTTTAATATTAAAGTTTTTTTAAAAATCCGATTTACAAAATGATTTAACTCGTTTTTTTTTAAATTTTAATACAATAATACAATTTGTATTTAGAATATATTTATTACATAGAATATTTTGACTATATTACTATTTTAAAATTATAGTGCTGTGATGTAATAAATTTTTTTTAAAACTAATATATTTAACAGAAAAAAAATTATTACAATTATTACATTGTCAAATAGTTCCGTTACACTCTGTATAATAAATAACAATATATTAAAAATATATTGCAATTGCCAAATTATGTATGTATCAATATAATAAAAGTAACATTTAATATTAAAACTTTTATTACTTTTTGCATAATTAAAAAATATGGTATTCAAAAGATAACTATTTAATTGAAAATTTAAACTTGAACAGGTTGTTGATCAGGGTTTTTTTTTGAATTAAGAGTCCTCACCAATATTTCAACAGTGTATCCCATTGCGTCTTTGCAATTCTGAGTTTTGATAGATGCAATCTGGATCAAAAGTCTTGTAATTCTGTCCACATCCAACCGTGCATGGATTAAATCGATCAAGCGCCGTATAACAACGAATAATGGGAATTGACGAGAACTTTCAATTTGTTTTATTACCATTATAACTTTAGAAATGGTATGCATTGCCATTTTAACATCCGTATTTTCATTGTAAATAGAACACATTCTTGATGTCTACAAAAAAAATAAACTATTAAAAGTATTGGAAAATACTCGAAGAATCTCCTAGTAACCAATAAAATCTTTTTTGAAATTGTAAAGATTATATGCATTGTAATATATAATTAGAAAAAAAAAGTTCCGATTAGAATAATATTTATTCAAAAAAAAAAAAAGTGATTTAAATTATACTAATTAAATATAAAATCAATAATAATATTAATCTACTAACTTTGATTGAAACAAATACTTCATTTTTCAATAGAAATGGTGTTTAAAAATAAAATATTTATTTAATAAAACCATTTCAGAAACATAGCCATTAGATATTATTAGTTAGAAGACAAAATGTGCAAATGTAATAAATATTTTCAATGTTTAAAGAACAGCTGAGTTATGTAATTAAAATATTAAAAATTAAATTGTTTCATTAGATAAAAATGAAAACAAATATTATTTCATAAAATATTTAAAACAATTAATGTTCCTATCTATACTCTATTCAGAAGTAGAGTACCCATTTCCACAGGACTATCAAAACAGATGCTGTACGATAGGTAATAAGTGGAAAGGTCACAAAAAGTGGGTCCTACTTTTATTCTGAATAGAGCATAAATGGCATTTCACATTCAAGGAACGTAAAAAAAAAAATAGAAGTTATACATACATTTACAGCATCAAGGAAATTCACAATGGTATTTTCCACATAATTCCAAGAGCATTCATTATCACTTCGGTTTGCTGTTTTCATGTATACAATAATTCTCATGAGAGCATTCATTACAGAGTCGAACAAAAAAAATGATGCTACTTGAATGTTTGGTTGTTTAGCTGAATTTAAATAATTAGCTATAAAACTTTTCATTTCGTGCAGTGTGAATTTAGGCATGTACTAGAAAAAAATAAAAATAAATAAATAAAAGCACATTGATAAAATACAGATTTACACATTTTAAACATTATATATTGCAGTCTTTAGAGTTTATGTACATTCAATTATTTAAGATTAATTTTTATAAAATGTCAAACACAAAGAGTTATATTCCCCATTTAGTCTGATAATTATTTTTAAGATGGTTACCTTAAAGTGAATTTATATATAGTCATTATTTTAATTGCATAATTTAATTTTTCTATAACCCAATTTTAATTTAAAATAAGAAGTTACTACTGAGGCTGATGTAAAATTGTGAAATTAAATATTTTTTTTAACATAAAGGTATGAATTAAAATTAAAAAAGTTAAAACTATATTATATGGGCTCCCAATGTGAACAATTTTTAAGTAATTTTACAATTACTTCATTGTGAAGAAGCTGAATTAAAGTTGTTAATTTTTCATTTTATCTCTTTTTTTTTTTTTTTTATTAAATATTATTTAAACTCTAACAATGAAATTAATGAAAAATTTGTAACATCGATATTGTCGATTTTAGTCAAAAAATTTAGTACTTTCAATTAAAATATTAAATTGAACTATAAAAATTATACCATTTAAAAAATGGTTGTTTATAATCTAGATCAGTGGTTTTCAAACTTTTATTATACACGACACACTGACCTTTTTTTTAGATGAACAAAATTGTTTTGAATTAATTATAATTGTAAATACATTTAAATAGAAATGTGTGATTAATAGACTAACAAATATTTATTAATTCTAATTGCATAGTATTAGTAATTAATTAGTTATTAAATTTATTTACAAAAAAAGCATAGTTTATACATAAGTACATTTTATGAGACATGTGTGCTTGATGGGCGTTACAAATATTTTTAATTCTCGAACGAATAGTTGACAGACATACCCACATTTCTTCCTCCACTGAATTTAGTTTTTCTCGTTTTTTATTTTTTATATTCGCNCGGCAAAATAATAGTCAGTGCTTTTATAGATATCTCTGGATATTCTTCAGAAACATGTATCCAGAATTTATTGAGTGATCTCTTTGATTTTCAACTGCAATGTTCGATCATTTTTAATTGAACAGAGATTTTCTTCTTCAACAAGTTTTAAATCAACCAAGTCACTAATAAACACATGAAGAGGGTCTCGTACTCAGTTGTAATTTTTAATATTAATACTTGGAAAAAATTTATTCATTTTCACTTCCAACAATGCGATAGACTCGACTATTAATGACATTTTGTCATCCGCAACTAGCAAAGCAGTATGGGGAAACATAATTAGATTACCTTGATTAACTTTAGTTTTCCATGAATTCCACTACTACATAACTCGCTTCTTGAGATTTACCAGGAATCTTTACAATATTTGTCATACTTTTACTTTGTTGAGTTTGTGATTTTAATAAACGTTGAAAATATGTTATATTTTTGTCGATCAAATGTGAATGTTTAGTGAACAAATGATGTTTAAGATTACTGGGCACCATTGCTCCATTTGACAATTTTTCACCACATACAACGCACCACGGACGAGGATCATTCTTATCACCAGTACAAGAAAATCCGATTTTTAAGTAATCTTCGTGATACTGACAAATATTACTTTAATTTTTTTNATTGTCAACAGAACGAGTAACAAATATATCCATGATTATAATTTATAATTATAAGTATATATAAATTAATTTTTTGTTAGTACTCCTATGCTATTACAATAGAATTAGTAGACAAACTACTCTACGAATACTGGCGTAAACGTCCAGGTCGGTTGCGACCTTGATATTCTGCCTTGGGTCTAATAATATTATCTATACATTTTATAGTTCAATAGTTATCTAAGATTACTTATCTTAATCACTTTATTCCTACTAACTGTCGATTTATATATATGTCAATATATAGCAAATGCATAAAGATAATGATTGAACTCATTTATTTTCTTATATCACAATTTATGAAAAACCGCGGCACACTTAGTGGATATTCGCGGCACACTGGTGTGCCGCAGCACTCAGTTTGAAAACCACTGATCTAGATAATAAGTAATACCTACTACATATTATGTATTTTTAATATAATGATAAATAAATAAATTACTGTAGCAATGCTGAAAATAAATTCTTCCTGGGATTTTTGAGTAGAAGTCATGTTTAAATTGGAGAATGAAATGTGACTCTGGGATTGTACAGTCATTATGAATTGTTCATCCATTCCTTCTATCACAATGTACTCGCTTCCCCACATACGTAGAAAATGAGAAACAGTGAGAAGATGACAATTTTTTAGTGCGCCTTTGATATTAAGTATGTCTGATGGTTTGACTGAAAAAAAAAAAAATTATAATATTAATGGTTTAAATTAACAAAATTTGTAAATAAAAGGCACAATATAAATACCACTTTATAATATAACAATTACATCATCTAGATTTAAGTTAATAAAATTATATACCTATATAAGCAGCATAATTAAGGATAGGTTGTATAGTAACAATGATCTTTTCACATAATTCAACTCTTTGACGAGAAAAATTTTCGATATTCCAACGAGTATCTTCCAATAACATAGCTAATTGAATAAGTAGTTTGTCCCAGTTATCTATGTCACTAAGCGTAATCAAATGGCATTCATTGAGGATAAGCTGTCAAAAATGTAAAATTTAAATACCCAATTTTAAATTTTAATAATTGCATACTAACTTTGGTCAAATTAACTAAATATAGTGTATGAACATAATTTGGAGAAGATTTCAGAAGAGGCGTTAAAACATGCATAAGATAATGTTTTGGTTTCATTAAGTGTAATGACCGGCTCGATGATACAGACTATAAACAATTATAAGACATGAATGTTAATAATAATAATATTCAAAATAGAGAAAAAAATATAATACAAAAGTTATTTGATTTATATATTTTATTTTAAAGTCTTGGGGATCAACTTTTGAAATTTAAATTTGAACCTATAATTATTTTGCAAATAAAATGAGAAAATAATTTTTAAATCAATTTTAGTGATGAAATATTATTAATTTATTCAAAACTCTATGCTTGAGACTTGTTGAGAAATGTTTAAAATTCTATTAACTAATGATGTCACTTATCACACAATGCTGTTAATGCTACCTTATCTAGCCAGTTATAACTAAATTAAAATTAACTTTAAATCGCTTTCAATCATAGTTTCGAATAAATTAATATTATTTATTTACTTAAATTTATTAAAACATTTCTTTACATTTTTTTGCAATAAAAGTATAAGGTTCCCTTTTGAATTTTAAAAGTTGACACACAAAATTAAAAAAACAAAAAATTATTTGAGATGTTTATAAATCCAAAAAAATTAGTATTATACATTTCTCTCTATTTTGAATATTTATATAATAAAATGGCCTGTAACATAAATTCTGAATCGCATAGTATACCCATTGCCTGAAACTAATTTTTTGTTTATCAGATAATTGTCTATTGACATCCAACCAAGATCTGTATTCTTCATAAACATAATGAGGTGGCATGTGTAAATGCATATCCACAGTTACTTGATGTAAACACGACCTTTTGGATTCTATTCCTTTTACTGGCAATCTATAAATACCAGTGATATATTGTGATACTAATTTATGCAACATTTTTTTGGGTTGCAGCATAGCAAGCCAAATCAATTTTGACACCATTTCCTGGCAATACAAAAACAACATACTTCATAATGATAATGAAACACTAATTAAAATTATTCATATTATATCAAACTAATGTTATCCAATATAATTATTCTGAATAACTTACTTTTATGTCAACAGTATTACTATATTCGTTGTGAGCAATATAACTTAATAATTTATCATAATCACATAATACAAACAAATCAACATCAGCATAATTTTTCATAAAATGTTTCAAAATATTTGATTTGTCCTCCATATCCAAATTTTTCACTCCTTTGTATAATACATTGACAAGTGGTTCTAACACTATACCTCCATTTTTATAATAATTCATAATACTGTCAATGAGGCATCTCAAGCAATTATAATCAATGCATTTCATGTAACGGTCTAATGTGCTTACAGCTTTAGGATTAGTATAAACATTAGTATTCTGTATCATTTTCTTGATCCACGCACTAATATGAAATTTTGAGGAATTCTGTACATTTTCAATCATTCCATTGATATCAGTGATATCCACATTGCTAAAATCGAGTTTTTCAATAGACATATTACGTAAAATTCCTCGAAAATTTGTTAAAACTGCATCTTTGACGATTCCCTTGTCAATAAAAGAACACAGATCATAAATTAAATGTCCAACACAGGCTTGCAGATTGGTATCTTCTTCAATGACTTCCACTTCATACCAGGAAAGCCAAGTATCAATGCTGAAATCGCACATTTCCATACACTTGTGCTTAAGAACAGTAAATAATTTATGAAACAAAGAATTGCTAGCATCTTTTACAGTATTTCCTGTTGATGAATCTAAATCTGAAGAACGTATCGGTTTCAATGTATACATGGGATACTGTCTATGTTTACCTGGGTTATTTTGGAATCTAATGACTTCTGTGAAAATTTTAAAAATACTCCTCACACGATACCCATTGTACTTTGCTATTTCTTTTTGGTCATCATCAGAATATAATTTTTTTAAATCAATAAGAACTTTTGATTCATTGCTAAATATAATCATAACTTCATTGAACTTGGTAAGCAGGTCGTCTTCTAAACTAGGCTTTACTGGTTGACGTTTGATGGATTTCATTAATGAGAGAATCAAATCTTCAGTAGCTATAAGTTGTGATAAGCTATCCAAATACTTAATTTGGTTTAAATTTATATCAATTAAATCACGACAAAAACCGTAAGGAGTGCACATTATGGTTTCTGCCATAAATGATTTTAAATTCAATATCTCCACAACTTTATAGTAGGTATCAACAGATATGGGTTTACCATGTATGTATCGAAGCAGATTTTGGCCTGTAGGAGATGCATCACCTTCTTTAACCCAATCAGCACTTTCTACTTTTGTGTTTAAATATAAAATGAAATGAGTAATTCTTTGAGCATGGTTTGAAGCTTTGGGTTCTTTTACTGTTAACTGATGATCAATTAAGGAATGAATTTCTGATAAAGTGAGAAAGTCTTCTCCTTCTAAAAACAAATAAAAATAATAAATAATTTATTATTATAAAAAATAAATAAATGTAAACAATAAAATGTATTAGGTACCTAATAATAAGTAACTTGTTAATCTGAAAATAGAAACTATGGGGAAAGACTGTTTTATTATGTACTTCTAATTCACTATACACACTAATTCTTGATAAAATTAACAAGGAATTATAATTTATTGCTTGAACATTAAAATAAAATAAACCACACCAGCCATCCTAAAACTATTTATTTTAGAATCTGAGTGAAGCGATGTGTGCATTGTTTTCATTACCGTGTATGTATTTTTTTTTATTTCTGTATATTATTAGTGTTAATACAAATTTTGATCAGAATATTTATTTCAATAGTTTACATCAAAGGTTTTCTAGAAAATTTCAGTTACAGTTGGAGCATTTAATTTTTTTTTTTTTTAATAACAAAGTAAAGTTGACAGAAAAAAATATTTTGTAATTCAAAAAGATAAAGTCGTACAGGATAAAAAATTGTACTGAATACTTAAACTATCTAATTAATTACAAACAGATATTGTCTGAAAGTTCTCTATTTCTAAAATTTTATTTTGATAAAACTAAATTAAAATATTAAATTTTTGTAGATATTTATGTCGCTATATTGTTACTCCAAAACCATAACTAACAATAATAATCTAAAATAACCCATTTAATTCCTTATACAAATATTGTGTATCATATGGTAATAAATAAATATTATATTATATTTTATAAATTAAAATTGTTGATTATTAATTTATCCTCCTATTATTATTATTATATATAAATAACATACTTTTTTTTAGTAATTATTTAAATTAAAATTAATTCATAAATAATATTAGGTATATACTATTATTATAATTTGGGCATTAAGTTGTTTTATTTTTTAGTCTAAAGCAGTGGTCTTCAACTGATGTGGTTAGCTTTAAAATTGGGTCGCGATAAGTCTTCTTTTTAAAATAAAAATTATATAAGGTAAAAAATAATTTTTTAATTATTAAACTTAGAAAATTATTAAATGAAAATACAGTTTAAAAAATTGTGTAGTCTATTATGTATCAACAATATTATATAATTTGGTCTAATTTAATTTATAATATACTATTATAATGGATATGAAATCACAGTATAAAGTACAGTATATGTTTCATATTACATTGGTATGATTCTACGTAGTAAGATATTGATTCAATATTATTATATTAACTATAATATAATATAATAACTAACAAATAAACTGTGATATTGATAGAATTAATATACATTATTATCATTAGAGTAATCTACAAATCCCACAATCTACGAATATTATCGATGTTGTTGCTGTGTTTAAAGATGATAAATGCTAGTCACATTATTATTCTAGTCGTATTTCACCAAGTGTACGTTAATATTTTTTTGTTATTTAATAAAATGGATAAATTTGTCATTCGGAAAAGTGGTCAAATTAATACATATGAAGACATTACAACGTTATTATAGGTACTTTCAACTTCAAATATGGAGGAAAACTCCCGCAAAAGAAAGAAATCCGAATTTATTGGTTGAAGAAATGATGAAAATTATTTAAAATTCGGATTTTGTGCTTTTAATATGGGAGATCATAACAATTTGGTTCAACCACAATGTGTAGTCTGTGGAGAATTGCTCGCAAATGAAAGTTTAAAACCATCAAAATTAAAAAGACATTCAGATACAAAACATCCAAATTTAAAAGAAAAATGTATAGTGTATTTTGAATCATTAAAACCTAACTTTCATAAAAATCAAAAAATCATAAAATCATAAAAAAATATTCATCAGTTTCGCAGTTGGCTTTAAAAGCAACATTTTTAGTCTTGTATAGAATTGCAAAATGTTTGAAACCATAAATCATTTAAGAAAAAACTTTTATTTTATATGAATTCCATACATTTTCAATTAATAATAATTAAATATTCTACCTACAAAAATGTTATTTTTATTTATTCATTTTAAATAGTAATACTACAAAGTATTAAGCAATTTCAGCTTCTTTACAAAGCTTATGTCGGTCGCAAAAAATGTAAGCCAAAAATATAGGTCGCGAGTCCAAGGTTGAAGACCACAGGTCTAAAGAATGAACCTGGTCACAATTATAGACAAACATAACACTTTAAACTTAAGTCTAACTAATAATTATACAATTAAAATAAAACCATTAGATTAGAGAAAGGTAACAATTGACAATATTCTGATAATCGTAGATACCTATAAGGAGAGTTTAGGCGACTCAAATATACAGCTGATTATCAGCTCTATAATGAATTTTAAAAAAAAAAAAATTAATTATAATTAAAATAATACATAGTCATAACATTTATAATCTCTAAATTATTATTATAATTTAATAATGTAACTATAGTCTGTCCTACAAGAGATGAGGCTGCTTCTATAAATGTATAATGTTAAAACTAGGGTTGGTAATATATAGATATAAAACGTTTAAAAGTGTTACATATAACACTTTATAACAACCAAGATTGAAGTTTATTATAATAGTGATAATACTGTACATTTTGAATTTTAATAAGTATTTAAACTTATAAATTAATATATGAAATCAAAAATAAGCGCCTCTAACTGTCTATTATATAAGAGCTTACTTCTACCTATTTGGTCCTACGGAAACGCCCTCTGGGGTTCAGCCAAACCAGCAAACATTAGAACTATCCAAACCTTCCAATTCATTTGCCTATGAATGACTGCGAATGCCTCTTGGTACGTTACCAATATCAGCCTTCACGAGCTAAAAATTTGTACTATCAAATAAACAGCTACCAAATTCTATACTTGCCTCCACTCCAAAATGGCCAACCACCCCACTCCCTCATCGCTCAACTTCACTCCAACCATCTTCCAGAAAACCCGCCAGGACGCCTCAAACGCAACTGGCCTAGAGATCTACTCAATATCTGATGCATACCTTTTAAGTAAATTATTTAAGCTCTGGTGTCTCTAATGTGAAACACCTTCATGTCTTTCATTGTCCTTTTCATTATTATGCTAAACCCTTTACTTATTGTACCCTTTAGTACAGATTGTAAATATTCATTTAAATAAACGATTAAAAAAAAAAAAAAAATTAATATAACAGATTAACAAATCACATCAACTTGGTGAATTTTCTTAAATTTAGAATAAAATAAAAACAAAATTAATTACTTTTTGGTATTATAAATATTAATGTAGTCATTAATAAAAAATAAAGATGAACTTAGTAATTAATATAATAAATTATCGCACATATCTTAGATAATTAATATATAATGTATAAAATAATGATTAAATTCAATTAACAATTCAATTAACAATTATTTTAACTGATAATTCCTGGTTAATTGCAGCCAAAAAAAAAAAACGTATACAGTATAAAACATATACAATAGTTTTATATTGTATGTTTCATACGTTTTATATGTACACATAATACGTGTTTAATACTTTACTGTATTAAAAGTTCCAACCCTGGTTAAAAATGATGTGGGGATGCGCAGAAGTGACCGAGGTCAGATCTCTCATGGGACAGACTATAGGTATAAAATATACATCACATAATATACGGGAAAAAAAGTTAGTATAATGTGTATTCATAGTGAAAATGATATTGATGTTTGTTTAAATAATAATCTAGAAGTCTTGCAAAAAAAGACTAGGTAGTTGATGATTATTATTTTGAAATTAGTATGAATTACTCAATTGAATGAATACAAAACACCAATGAACAATTATGAAAAAGTATGAAAATGATTTTTATGATGTATTTGATATTATTAAATAGAAAGTTAGAATTGAAAATGTCATTTTAATCCCTGTGAGGAATGTGAGCTACGTAATGTAGGTAGTTGTTCGTGATAAGCTGAGTGTATTTTCCAATTGAAAATGTTACAAAATTAAAATTTATGGTACTGGGTGTACTCGGTGACGAAACAATTGATAATGCAAAACTTAATCATCAGTGAAAAAAATGTCTATTCTAGATTTGTAGGTACCAAGAAATATAATTTTTAATGGACACAAATGATATAATGATTTGCCAATTCAAATAAATATTATTTTATATTAACAGGGGCACTTAAATTTCTTAAATAATCAAAATGTATAGTTGGTTTGTTAGTATTTGAAAAGAGAAAGATACGAGATCACGAGGTACACTATGCTATTATGTTGTCCATACACAAACTTAGTTTAAACGACAATTCAGATGAGTGACCCATGTCACTTTTTGTTTTTTGTAATGTAGGTACGATTTATATAGACAGATAAATAATAATAAAGACAGCTAATACGATATATATATATATATATATATATATATATATAGGCAACAACACTAACCGATCAGTGGTTTACGTTTAATCAGCCTGTTGATATCATCCAACAAATCAAAAACGAACTTGACGTTTTCGTTATTCTCTAACTCTAACGAAAACTGAATCCCGATGGCCGAGTCGGCAGATGTTTCTTCCGAATTAGTACTCATCATCTGAGATGATGTGGGAAACGTAGTCATATGACAAAAACCGTGTAGATACCTATAACAATAATAACAATAGTCGGTAACAACAACGATAATAATCTAGTTATTAGGATAGAAAATTATAGAACAAACCACAAAGATCGAGTCACACGGATATTCCGTAACCGAGCGACCGATGCGCAATTGTTGGTCCCGGAGACGAGTTGATTAGTAATATTAGTATTGTTATTACCGCGGTCTCCGACGCTCAGACGCGTTGGACTGTGGGAACGCGCGAAACAATAGTACTAAACGACGATCTTTTTCCTATGGTCGCAAGCAAATACCGTGCAAAGTGTAAACGCGAACGGAACGACGGGACACGGGCCGCTACACCGGAAAATGAGAAAAAAGTAAAATTATCGATTGCAGAATACAGACAGACCGTCGTCGATCGCAGCGCTGTACGAGAATGAATTGCCGAATTGCGCAGGCGTGATAATTGATTTTTTTTTTCTTTTCCTTGAGACTATCCCCTGGAACGCGTCTCCCGACGACGACGTCACATCGCCGTCCCGACAGTCTTACCACTGATTAAAACAACAACGCCGCGATGGCGTCATACAACGGTTGTCGGTTAATATTGTTATCGATAAAATTATTACTATATAGGTTGATAATAATTTCTGTAATCGTATTTTTCCGTTTGCGGTGCGGCATTCCGATGACCTATTTAAACATTTTAAATGCGTACTGCGTAGTTACTGGTCGACATTGAAAACATGTGGTTTTCTCACCGTCGACGATCGATGCCTACGGAATCCCAATAGATCGTATCCCAACCCCACTCCTCTTTAAGGCATTTAATATTATTGTATTATTCTTTCGCGTACACACTACACGCACTGACCCACGCGGTAATATAAACGATTTGAACTGTTTGTGGTAGTGGGTTAGATTAGGCACGGCACCGGTCCATTGTACGGGGACTAAAAATCGTAACGAAATAAGTTTGTACAAATAAATACATTTATTTCGTCATGTTATAAACATGCTCGCACGTAGCGTCTCTGGCACTTGTTGAAAATGCGCGTCACTATACTAGGGTTGCAAACTACTAAATAATGTAAAATGTTGATCGATACGGGAACGTTTACCACTCGAACTAAGATATTATAGGATACGCAACGAGAGCTGTTATCAACAAATTATTGTTCCTGAATGTTTTTCTCCGTCGAATATAGACACAGAGTACTAAAAACTAGTCCGCGGCGAACGTTTTAATTATTCCAGTCATTAATACTTATATTTGGCGGTATTTTTAAGTAACGGTCTTTTATTCTTTATCCATACACACATCCGATCTGTCTGGTCAAATATGAACTTATTGTTTTTTAATATATTTATTCACACATATCTGATCCGAGCCTGTTCCAAGCTTTCCGAGCTCTCTCCAATCAAAAAAATATTGTCATTAATCGATTTTCTGTCCGACCTCAGACACGGAACGGTGTATAAATCTAAAACACTGATCGGATCGAATCGATATATGTACATACAATACTCGGAACGTTAAAAATAGGAACTCGGATTGGTTAATAAATAATAACACTTAACCACTTAAAAAAGTGAACTAATTATTATGTCTGCTAAGTGCTAAATACAGTGAACTAAATTGCCATTCATTGGCAAAATCAAGATGTAGTAGTCTTATATAGTAGTTACCTAACCTAAGGTATTTATATTTTGTTTTGTTTATTTGTCTTACATATTTATATTTATTTAATATTTCAATATTTTATTTGTTATGTTTAGTATTGTAAGTTAGGATGGTATCAACTATACAGTTGATATTATATGTAAAATAAAATAAATAAATCTATATTATTACGTTCTTATATTCATAAACTTTCGACTATATCCAACATTGAACCATCCAACCACACACTGAACACAATGATTTGAAAGAATGATGCGTTATGGAATTAGTTATCTAAAATGTTTTCAACCGTTTGAACAGATTGACACACTGGCAGGACCGTATTTATGATTTTGGCGCCTATGGGTAACAATATTTGACGCCCCCGACTTTGTCCTATAATAAATTAGTATAACTACTTAGTAAGTAAATATACTAATTATAGGGATTTGTAGTATTTAATTTAGTATTTAGATAAAAAATAAAATATTTAAAAATTTTAAAAAAAGACATACTTTGTACATAGGTGCAGCCACTGTTGTAGGTGGGAAGATGGGAATGTAGGATACAAACGGGAATTAAATGTATACCTGTAAGCAACGATTAACCATTGCTAACGAAAAAACGATTTTGAGCACAATTCAGTTAATAGTTTTGCTTTGTCAATAATATATAAATCATATTATGGTTAAATAATTAAATAGAAATTATATATTTTCTTTAATAATATTTGTTTAATGTTGTACCGATTTTCCTAGTTTTCCTACGTTCTTCCCGGTTTTTCACATTTGTTGAGAAAACTCCTGGGAAAATCGAAAAATGACCTCTCTAAAGTACCTTCTCAGTTAGATTTTTTTTTAGAAGTTTCGGTTGGAGGAGAGTAGTGGTGCATTATAAACGCCGTACCACCAAATAAATAATATAGCCACTACTCTCTTCGAAACCAAACTTAAAAGTGGAATATCTCATCAACGGATTGATGGAAATCAATAACTTAAACACCAAAATTTATTTGAACTAATACTCAATCTATTCATTTAACTTTTAGTATAGGTTGACATTTGAAAATCAAAAGTAGACAGTGGTTTTACCCCCGAAAATAAGGATGACAAAAAAATGTTCTAGAAAACAAATTACAAAAAAAGTTAATATTTTTCGAAATAATGAGTGTCTTATGATAGATCACCTTGTTTATAAAATATATGAACTATTCATATAATTTGTAATTTTTCCGAAGACTTTTTTATAGTCACCATGAAAATTTAGCGCCCCTTAACATATACCAGGGGTGGGTTATTGCCCCTCCAAATCACCTCTTAAATACGGCCCTGCACATTAGACAACTTAAAAAAAAATGTATATTTACTTGATCTCATAATTAAACATATTTAATATATTTGTATTACCTTGTGTCATCCTATTTGATCAAGCATTTCCTATGAAATAAACATTTTTTTAGCTTAGTTGGGTAGAGAAGACGATTTTACGATTTATTCACAATTCTTATTTGCTACGGCCCCTCCAATTGAAAATTCCTGGACACTTCACTGCCTAGGTATATCTACTATATTCTGTCTCACCAGGCGCGTCCCTGAGAGGAGGTGATAGGGTCAATTGCCCCCCCCCTCACCTATAAAATTGTTAGATCAAACAGAAATGCTTGAGAATTTAACATGAGGTTTATTAATAGTCCTATTATGTGGTAAAATAAAAAAAAAATCAAGCAGAGACTAACTGGCTTATCATTTTGAAATAGGTATTCATCGAAATGAAATCATTAATAAGTATAGAATATATTGTTGATCAAACCGCATGCAAAACGCTGCTTAAAATAAAAGTATTTTGGACTTAGTCATCTAACTTTTATTAATTATTATGCTTATTATTTTTGTTATTCATATTATCATTATTTTAATTATTATTTATTTAATGTGAAAAAAATAAATTTAACTTTTAAATTACATTGTTTTACTGCATTTGTACAATATATCTGTAGTCTTCTAAGCTAATATAAATTGAAATAACATCAGACATAAAAGTTTCAGGTTTTTGTTGACCTAAGCGGTAATATTCAATAGTAAAATTTTTCTCCTCTCTCCTCCCTATGGAATTGACCCGACGACGCCTCTGAGTAATACTCTTAATCGAGCTCAGCTCAGAATCGTTTTTATTGGCAATGCTTAGGTACAGATATACATTAAATTTCCTTCAATATGCTACCTTTTGTGTGTCCGTCTTTTTTTTCTTATTAATCATTAATATTAAATTTAATTATTTCGCCCCCCCCCCATAATCAAGGTCTGCAGACATCCCTGTGTTTCACTGGAGAACAATACTGTTTTTACCTTCATCGACTCTATGATGATCGATGACTATAATCCATAGTATGAGTTCAACTTGAAAGTTTTAATGTAAGTGATAGGTATTTAATTAACTGTAGGAAACTAAGGTTTGTTATTACCTACCTACATAATATTAGGTATTTAATTATATTATGCGTAATATTATCTAAAATTGTGAATTTGTTTTCTAGAACAGTTAAGAAACAAGCTGCTCCACAATTTTATATTTGTGTTATTTTTTGTCACCCTTTTTTTTAGGGGTGAAACAACTACCTACTTTTGATTTTCAAATGGCAACCTATATTAAAAAGTTCATAAATAGATTGAGTATTAGTTAAAATAAATTTTACTATTGAAATTTTTGATTTCTATCAAGCTGTTAACGAGATATACCACTTTTAATATTAGGTTGGAGGAGAGTAGTGGTTCATTATTAACACGCCGAGCGTCGTACCGCCACACTAATGATACTCCACTACTCTCCTCCAACCCAAACTTAAAAGTGGAATATCTCGTCAACGGATCAATAATACGAATAAACTGCAAGCTGCTCCCGTCATCACTCGTCAAGTGCCAACATTCAAATAAATTTAAATGAGAGAAATTTAAGGACATAATATTATCAGCAATAAAAACACGATGCTTGCTCGCGGTCACCGGTCATAGACATGTTGTGGTCATAGACATATAATAGATTCTATTATATGTCTATGGTTGCGGTGATCCACATGTGGACATGCGGGTAGTGGTATAATGACAAAGGGAACAGTATTATTGATATCTTGGCCGAAAATAACAAATAACTGTTATATATTTAGAAAATACCTATACATGGATGTTCGATTTTTTTGTATGATGTGTACAGACTAACAGTGATTATATTACACATGAAGTATTTTCAAATTTTAATAATAATTGTGATATTCCTAGTACATATTATTATACATTTTTAAAAATATTTTTATTTGTATTTATATTATAAGTATAAAAAACGAAGCCGAGCTTTTAAAAATTAAATTTTAAGCTATATAAATACTTAATAATATCCTAATAAATAAATCCTTAATTCATTAAATAAATATTTAGTTGCATTATTTTTTGTATAATAATAATCACACTATTTATTACTGTCTAAAATCTAAATTATTACGTAAATAATTAAATAAATGGGAGGGAGGTCGAAATTTTTAACCCAAAGATAATACTATCTGAGGTCATTATACATTCCATAACTTCATACTTGATAATATTATTGATGACAAAGGAACGATTGATTAAAACAAAATATAAACCGCTCTATCCTACATATTGGTGTTAATGGCACTCATACTAATTTATATTTAAACGATTTAACCACAAACCACAAGTATAACTTTTAATTAAAGTTGTATTAATTGAATTTGAGTACCTACTTGAATATACAAAAAGATATTATTCAAGAAAGAAGTAACTATTTTGTACTTAAATAATATGAATTTTTTAATTACTTATTAAAAATATATAACATTAATTTTTGGTTAATCTTAATTGTT